GGCGATACTGCTGCGACCGTTCTCAACGCCTCTTCTGTCGGTGGCCTTGACGTCGAACCCGAAAACGCGCCCAGCATCACGGCCAAAACTCGCCACAGATCGTACTTGACCGCTCAGTGGGTCAATGGCGAATCGTGGCGCGTCCTCCCGCCCGAGAATTTGATACCGGATCTCGGCGTTTGCTCCCTCGTCCGGGTCTTCCGCCTGATTATAACGATTAGTCGTTTATTCAATTATTCCTCTCTTTCTTTTCTATCTCATTTACGATCAATGAATTTTTTTTTAAAAAGAAGAAGAAATCTGAAAAACAGATGCTGCTCGAAATTCTAAAAATTCTATCTCTAAAAGTTTTATAATTTGTTTCATACGATTAATCGGTTTCGATATTTCTTTTCTATCTCATTTACGATCAACGAATTTTTTTTTTAAATCAAAGAAGAAGAATTCTGAAACGTATAGATGCTCGGAATTTTAAAAATTCTATCTCTAAAAGTTTTATAATTTGTTTCATACGATTAATCGGTTTCGATATTTCTTTTCTATCTCATTTACGATCAACGAATTTTTTTTTTAAATCAAAGAAGAAGAATTCTGAAACGTATAGATGCTCGGAATTTTAAAAATTCTATCTCTAAAAGTTTTATAATTTGTTTCATACGATTAGTCGGTTTCGATTATGTTTCTCTCTCTTCTTCTCTCTGCTATCTCGTTTACGATCAATGAATTTTTTTTTTAAATCAAAGAAGAAGAATTTTGAAAAGTACAGATGCTCGAAATTTTAAAAATTCTATTTCTAAAAGTTTTATAAATTGTTTCATACGATTAATCGGTTTCGATATTTCTTTTCTATCTCATTTACGATAAATGAATTTTTTTTTAAATCAAAGAAGAAGAAATCTGAAAAGTACAATTGCTGCTCGGAATTTTAAAAATTCTATTTCTAAAAGTTTTATAATTTGTTTCATATGATTAGTTGGTTTCTATTATGCCTCTCTCTCTTTTCTATCTCATTTACGATCAATGAATTTTTTTTTTAAATCAAAGAAGAAGAATTTTGAAAAGTACAGATGCTC